TTTTTTTTTTTTTAGATTTAAATATCAAATAGAAAAATTTACATAAAATTAAAGACTTATAAGCAACGATAAGAAGAGCTAAATAAATATTATCTTATACATATGCTTTTTTTAGGTGTACGTCCAACAATAACCAGTGGTTTTAACATTATTGGTCGTAGTTTAATAAACATATTTTCATCTCGCTGTTTTTTTACTGCTATTATGTTAAAAAGAAGGAAATCTTATTTGCAGGTTAAAAGTTTCAACATTCGGTCTTATATGAAATTAAAATATAGGAGGAAGAGAGAGAAAGTGAAAAAATGTACGACAAAACAAGCAATAACTGCAGAGGCAGAAAAAATAAAGGAAAGGAAAAAGGAAAGAATGACTTTTGGATAGAATTTAAAAGAAAAATGTGGGAAGAAGGAGAAGAGGATAAAGTAAAAGTGAAATAAAAATCAGGAGGAAAAGACGATGGTGGATGAAAGGAGAAATGGTGATTTATTTGCACAAACTCTGGACTGACCGGTTGACAATAAACGGTTCACTTAGCGTCAAGTGACCAGAAATGGTGTGTGTGTGTGTGTGTCTGTGTCTGTGTTTGTCTGTGTGTGTGTTTGTCAAGCATTTGTTATAAAAAGCGTATTTGAGCCATCATAAAAGAAAACAGCAACAAAAAATAAATAAATAAATTTAATTGTTGTGGCGAAAATTTTTTTGTTTGTCATAATTTTCTGCCAACAGACGGCATGTTTTTGGTGCTTTTTACTGTTACCAATGTATATATTGTTCTCTTCTATTATTTTGAGGCGCTACTGTTACTGTTGATGTATCACTGGTTCCTCCTACAACAAATCATTGGTACTTTTGCAAACCTCAAATCTGGTAACTGATGTTGGTGTCGATGCTGCTGGCGGTAGTGGTGCTACTGTTGTCACCGCTTTCTGTTAACAGCTGCAGCATTATTTTGATCTAAGAGTTGGTTGTCACTGTTGTTGTTCGTTACATGACAGATACGATTTAGTTTGTTGATTGATTCATTTTTTTTCTTTCACTGCATTTGCGGATTAGTGTTTTAGAAGAAATGCATCATTTTTTTTTTGAGACTTCTTAAACAAAAAAAAATATGAGAAAGAACTTTTATTTTCAAGTATCTTTTGTGATTCAAAAAAAAAAATTTTCTTTTTACTTACTAAAAAAAGATATTTGTCGTTTTTTGCTGTTTTTTGTTGTTACTGTTGTGGTTGTCGTTGATACTGAGTCATCGAAGTACCAGTAATCAACAGGGAGAGAAGAAAGGAAGAAAAAAGTTTAGTTTGATTAAAATAATTTCATTTTTTTTTTTTTT